TTTTCGGGAATCTTACCTTGATACTTTTATGCACAAAATAATGAGACGAATCAATTGATATAAAGAAAACACATAGTTGCTTAAAAAAAAATATGCAGCTTTATATTGCAAATTACATATTTTTTCTTAAGAGCAACTGTGTGTTTTCTTTATATTAATTGATTCATCTCATTATTCTATGCATAAAAGTATTAAGGTAAAATTATCGAAAACTGAATATTTTACAAGATATTTTGTATTTTATGTCAAAATACTGTAACATTCATGTTTCATAACTCGGAAAGTCCTGAACAAAAAAGTTAATTATAGTGTTTTGGAAAAGTCTTGAAATAAGCTAGAAAAATATGCAATAAAAAAATGGGGATTTCCATTTAAAAATTTCAAAGTGATTTTTACGTGACCTTGACAATGCTATTCAAAGTCATATTAACCTTACTATGTGATGCGTCTCTTAAAACCCTATAACTTTTGTATGAAACATTTTTCTCAAAAATGCTTTGTTATCAAGATATTTCAGGGGTCTGGGACTTTTTCCTCACCCTGTATAATTGTGAAATATTTAATTAATCGAATGATAAATTGATAATTTGTCTTTTTGTATGCAACATCGATTTTTGAAGATTCCAATGCGTTCAATATCGCTGCTTAATACTTTTATTATTCTATTGTCAATTGCACGAAAAATTTTTTATCTTTTTCTCTCCATTGTCTTCCTTTTTTGAGAGAATTTTTATAGAATTTTGACGTACGAAAATAATATATTTTTATAGTAATGACTTTCACTTCATTTTGAAAGCAGCAACATGATAGCAAATATGATAGTAAATCAAATAGGAATGAGCTATAAATTATTCTTGTATCTGGTGAAATTTTACCTTATCCGTATTATCTAATGATTTTTAATAGACATCAACTGAAAGAATATTCGTAAGTAAAACTGTAATGTTTATGTCCTTCAATTGCTTTTCTAAAAAAAATTAAGGCATAAAATTATGACTGCAATTAGATTTATAATTATAAAATAATCAAATAGCAAACCCAATAGTTAGATTTTGCAAAAAATTTTTTATCGTGCAATAAGTACATTTTGTCCTCACTTAAAGTTCTTTTATTGTTGAACAGTCCAGGGCCGTTCGAAAGGTAAACCTTCGAGCAAAACGACTTTCAGAGCCCGCAGTAATGTACTTTCACATTTGCAAGACCAAGGCATTGAATCGCTGCAAACTCGTTTTGCATTACGAGAGAAAGAGAGACAGAGAGAAAGAGAGAAGCGAAATGAAGATCGAGAAAGAGAGAGAAAGAGAGAGAGAGGGGGGGAGGGGGAGAAAGAGTAACGTAGGAAAGTAGAAACAGAGAAGGAGAAAGACCTAGTTGTGTTTTTCTCGTGGTTGTACATCAGCGAGTTGTAGATTTTTTTACGAGAATTCCGTCGAAAACAAGTTGTTTTGATTATCCGCGCCGAATAGCGCGAAATAGCGACGACGATTCTCGTACTTCGCAGCAACAAACGATGAAACATTGTTATTTTATACTGAGTCGAGGGTTTGCCAGATTTACGAGAGCAATTGCGCGATTTTGCCGTTCAGCCGTTCCCCAATTTTCCGTCGGTAACACATTCCACGGCTACGTTCCTGGATTGCACTTTAGGAACAGCGGCCGCTGAATGCGACTGCCAGCGCTCTGATATTTAGAGAGCGATCTGTATTCATGTCCTCTTGTAGGACACACAGTACAGTGACCTAGTGACATGCGGAAAATCTTAGCGTATAATCACGGCGTCGCGTAATTACCGCCAGTCGAATAGAATTGTCTAGCGATCGAAAGTTGCGAGATGGATGCGCGCCGATGAGTTTGTGGGCTAACTTCGACGGCGACGATGACAACGATCGAACGAAATGACAGTACTTGTGACGGCATGTAACGCACATTTTTTTCCAGCAGAAAGAAATACGTTCGCTGCACCATGACTGATATCGATGCGCGACAACCGTGTAAATGACTGTTCTTAATATTAATAGATCTAAACTCTGCCGTCAAAAATATTGCTGAAACCTAATATTCAAATTAATTAATATTCAAATAATATTCAAAAATATTTTAAGTTAAATATATCATTATTATTATTTTGCGAACAACTTTTGCGATAACGATATTTAATAGTGTCATTAAATAAAACAGTCCATGCAAAATAATTTTCCAAACTATAATTTCTTTTACGTGGAAAGTTTTCGCTAAAAATCGAATTTTAATGCACCACACATACACACACATTCTTAAAATAAAAAATTTCTCTTCCTGAAAAATTAAAAAGAAATATATCACTTTCAAAAAAATGCTTTCCAATACCTTCTAATATCTTTTAGAGCCCAATAATAATTGCATTACAATATCCATGAATTTTACTATTTTATGAAAACATTTGTCTTTTATTTAATTTATTTAAAAAAAACCATATGGCATCCATTAGATAAGAAAATACTGAAACTAATTATTCACCATCATTAGCAATCGGAAATTGATTGTTGAAATCTATGAGAAATCCCTTATCATTTTGTTCCTTAGATTTCTCTTTTGCTAAATTTCATTATCCATTAAATTTTTTTTATTTACATACTTTTAAAAATTTATACTTTGTAAAACTTTCCTCTACAAAAACTCTCTTCTTTTTGCGAAAAATGCCGAAGAAAAATATCTATATACCTACATTCTCGTTCATTCTTGTTGCATGGAAATTTTCCTGGTGATACAATATTTTATTTTTAAAATTTGATTAATTTTTAAAGTTGGATGCTTTTCAATTCAAAGTTCACTTCGGTGTCAGGTTATAATTTTGATCAAAAACTTATCTCATAATTGAGGAACAATTATCGTGAATTGTTAAAAATAAATTTCGGTTATTGCCTAAAATTATTCGTGGGTGGAGTGGGAAGTGCACGGTATGGTTCCGCATGTACCGAATTAGAAGTATTTCGCGCCGGCTGTCTTTATATTGGCACTAACGTACCGCGTTCTCTCCAAGATCCGGTTTCACTTGGCTCGCAGACGGGAAGATATTCCGCGACGAGCGCGAGTAATTCAAGATTTCTTATTATATTGTCATTTCTCGATGCGTAATGCAGCACGAAGGAAATTGTAAAATTATGCCAGTATCGAAAAAATGATTTGATGATAGATGAACTAAAAAAATTTTCATGGAAATATAGTCAAACATATTAATCATAGGAATAAAGTGATAATAATTCCTACAGTAAGAATTAATTAATTCTCTCTCTCTCTCTCTCTCTCTCTCTCTCTCTCTCTACTCTACTACTACTACTACTACTACTAACTAACTAACTAACTAACTAACTAACGTAAACTAAC